CATCCACCCACTCATCCACCCATCTACCCACCCATCTACCACCCATCTATCCACCCATCCATCTCTCCATCCATGTATGTTGATGTCTACCTGTATCTCTTTCCTATGAATTGAACATGCCAAATTCCTCTCCACATTTTACATGTTTGGGTCTTTCTGTCTCCACATCATAAGTAATGTGCTCAGGTGTCAGCATCGAGACTCCCCGGACTTCCATAGAGCTTTCTGTTAACATAGCATGTTCTAAATGATACCACCACATTGTATCAGAATTAGTTCTTAATTTCCCTTTCTCTATCCTAATGTCAGATTGTGTATACAGTGGACAATGACTCTGCCTTTGTGGTCACTGTGGTCAAGTTTGTGCCTTCCATGCAGGAGGTTCTTAAAAAGACGTTTCTTATCTCATTGGTGGGCTACTGGCTTGGGGAATGGTCTTTTAGGAAAGCCTAGGGAATGGAGAGACGACTGAGTCCACAAAGAGAAATCTGGGTGATCAAGATGCTTTAGGTCTTTCTCTGATGTTGAGTATCTACAAGAATGTTATGGTGCCTCTTTGGACTCCGTGGTCAATAGTTCCAATATGTAGTCGATTTCCTGAAAACACACCAAAGCAGCCTGAGTCACATTACTGCCCTATCTCTACCCCTCTTTGTTAGGCTTCCAGTTTGGGTTCAAGCTGCTTCTCCAGCATCATCTGCCACCTTTCCTCATGTACATTATGCCTCAGCCTGTTTGTCCACTAGATCTACAATCTTAGTTTGTGACTGGGATATCATGAACAAATGTTAATTTTCCCCAAATTAATCATAAATTTAATGAAGTTCTAATTAAATTTCCTCATGAGCAATTTGAAAAGCATCCTGAAAATTATACGGGATGATGAAAGTCCATGAATAGTCAATGAAATTTTAATAGAAGTAGGGACAGGAGACCTGCCCTTCAGTCAGGTTGACCGGCTGCACAATCATCCTAATAAAACCTGGTTCTGGCACCAGGGCCAGAGAACTCAGGATATATCCATAAAGATTTGAGAGACTTCCAAGACCAATCGGGAAAGAATGATTTAATATAAGATGTTGGAAAGCTGGCTCACTTCATTGGGAAAACTAAAATCAGATCCTTATCTCACACCATATGTAAAGGCGAACTCTGTGAAACTAACTGGAGAAAATGAAAGAGAATGCCTTTATGACCTTGGGCTTGAGAAGGACTTTTAAATTACACTGGAAAAAAAAAAAAAGTAAAAAGAAAGCCAAAAAAAAAAAAAAAGAAAATACTAAAGGCTACAAAATTAAGGATTATTGTCCTCCAAAGGACATTCCAGGCAGTTTCCAATCTTTGAAAGCAGATTTATGTCTAGACTGTACAAAGTACTCTTGCAAATCAAAAAGGAAAATGCCAGTAGAAAAACTGGTAAGACTGTAAATAGATAATTCATGAAAGGAGACCCCAAGTGGCTTATGAATTATGAAGAAATGCTCAATTTCACTAGTAGTTAGAGAAATGTAAATGAAAACAAAAACATGTTGACATTGCTTCCATGATATTGACAGAAATTAGAAAATTGGCTAATTAGATGAGTCAGTATTTGTAAGCGCTTAGAATAGTATCTGGCACCAAGTAAACAAGATATGAGTATTTGTGAATATATAAAGTACCACATGCTGGCAAGGACGGCAGTGAGGGACAGAAACATCCCCTAGCACTACAGGCTGGAACTCCCCTAGCTTTACAGGGCAGAAACTCTGGTGTGCAACCAGCACTACTCAAGTGACGTCAAGTACCCAGTGTTTCCACCAGGGCACTGGTGGAAATCACTGGTCAATTAGAAATGCACAGCTGGGCAGATGCATTTGAAAAATTCAAATTCTGGATAGTTCCTGCCTTGATTTATGACTTGACTAGGGCTCAAAGAACACATTTCCCTCCAGCAGGGCACTTACCATTGGAAAGAGGGTACAGGCTGATTTTCAGTTCTCTTTGGCTCTTGGCTGGATGTCCTTGTGCAGGGCAAGTTGCATAACCAACTGTGGTGGTCCCTTGCATCATCCATGACCTTAATCACCTTACTTCTAGGCATTTATTTCAGAGAAATTTATACAAAGGCCCATGAAGGGACCGCGGGCAAGGGTGATGGTCACTTGGTTGTTTGTGGTATCGGAAAGGTGGAGGTGGCCTGCACATTCACTTGGGGGGGGGTAAAAGTAAAATGGGGTGCATGTCCAATATGGAATGCTGGGCAGCAATCAGAGCAATGAATTGGGGTTACAATACCATCTGCCACAGGAATAGATCCTTGAGAAGAAGACTGAGTGAAAAAAGTAGAAAATAAGATGGTCTCTAAAGTTGGATACCATTTTGAAAAATCTAAAATTTACAGTAATAAAATGCTATTTATTTTCCAAAAATACATATCCAAGCAAAATATAATTTCCTTCTAAGTATTAATCCTCCTGTGAGGGTAAGGATGAGGAATGGGATGGGGATACGAGGGAAAAACAAGAAAACAAGAGAGAGGTTTTGCACACTTTATCAACCAAGCAGTTTAATTACTCCAGTTTTCTTGAAGTTTAAAGGAGGTGGAAAGAGAAGATGGGTCTTTAGCAAGGAATCCCAGATGCTAGGCAGATTTTCAGGTGGTTTTAGCGTCCCTCGAAGATCTGTACCACTGATGACTAAACTCATTAAAGGCAGGGCCTGTGTTTACGCTACCTTAATTTCTCCGCTGTCTCTTGCATACTGAATTTCGGGTGAGGAGCTACATACAGTGTTACAGGGCTGCCTCCTAACATTATGGGATTCACTCAACCGAGATGTTCCCGGGACCCGTAGCTTTGTACACAGAACCGAGGGGCCTTCCCTTATCCAGAATCCTTAGATGGGGTCGTTAGCCCCAATTCTCCTTTGCGGCTCCCTTAGGGTCTCCCCACCCGCTCCTTCGCGAGTCGCCTTTCCCCACTCGCCCTCCCCTTTCTCTCCCGAGTTTCTATTCGGCGCACACCTCCGCCCTCCACCCAGCCCAGAGGCCCCGCCCCTCAGCCCGTGGTCCCGCCCATCGTGAATATTTGCATATTTCTCCGCGGACTCCGCGGCTCCTCCCCTTTCGAGCTTACGCCAGCGCCCCTAGAGGGCGTGGCGTTACCAGGCGACGCGAGGACGCGTGGAGCGCCGGGTGGCGGCCCCCGGCGGGCCATAGAAATAGCGTGGTGCCGCGGTTCGGTTTTACACGCTGGGGAGGAGTACATAGCCCCTTCCTCCGACTCGGGCCGGGTTTCCGCGATCTCCACAGCAGCCTCTGAGGCGTCAAGATGGCCGAGGTCAGGAGTCAGCACTCTCTCTCTTTCGCCTCTAGCTCAATCTCTCCCCGTAGTCTCTCTCCTGCTGTTGACTCTGATAGTCCCCCACCAACTTCCTGTCTCCCCCCACCCACAGCCTCACCCTACCCCTTCCCTGCGTTGACTGGCTCCCTTACCTCCAGTTCCCTCCATTTGTCTGGACACCCTCACTCCCTCTGTGACTCTATACCAAGTGCAGTGGGAAAGTGGTGAGTTCCCACATTCTCACATAACAGGCACCCATCTCTGATTCTGAGTCATGAGGTGATCCTACAAGAGAGGAACATACAGAAATATCGATATCTCACCCACCGGGGACTCGGAGACGGAGGCTTCTTTGACACACACTGTCTGTCACCCCTTTTCGGTGTGCTGGTGACACTGCGATTCCCTATCATCTGGTCCCCGTCTGCGTCACATCTTCTTTAAGACCCCGTGTTATCACTGACCACTGTGTTAACATTTTGTAGCCTCCATTCACGCCCCCACACTGTAGTGCACCCTATTTCGGCCTCATGATGAGGGGTCATTTCTGTAACCCACCCATGTACACCTGCCTGTCCACAGTACCCTCCTGTGTACCCTCACCAACCTCAGTTCCCTGGTATCACCTGCCATCCGCAGTCTCCTTCCACCATGACACTACATTCTGCATTTCACCCATCACATGGTCAGCCCCATCCAGGACCCCCTCATACTTCTCAAGGCACAGTGAAAAATGGAAATACAAAGCCTCTTGTTACGAAACTATAAAGAATTTTAAGATTAAAGATGGCAGAGTGTTGAGCCAAGTGTGAGGCCTGTATCCTGTGTAGATCTCATGCCCATGAAACAAGTGACTCTAAACACTGTTACGCCTCCTCCCTTATTCCAGTATGTTCTTGTCTCCTAGAGTTATTCACATGCCCTCGTCATCCTATCTCCACCATCTCTAGTCACCCTTTTGAACTCCACCTTTCTTGGTCCAACAGTCCCCTCCTAATGCCTCCGACTCCCTGGGTTCCTTGATGCTCACCTCTCCCTCACATCCTTGATGCTATGGCCACCCTTCTTATCCCATATCGTGCTAGCTCTTGTTTTCCTGTTTCCCCTTCCTGTCCCTTCTGATCTCCTTGCTTCTTTCCATTATTTGATATTGGGTGTCCTCCTTTTCTTTCCCACTGTTCATCTTGGGTTATTTCAATGCTTCATTTTTTCATACATAAATCCCAGATACTAATATACAAACTAGTTATTTCTCATTCTCCCTTCCCTTTCATTATTTCCTCTCATTTCTTCCTTCTAATTTTCATCTCTCTTGATCTCACCTCTGCTTTCACAAGTCTGAGTTTCTACTCTGGCTTCATTTTTCATTTTCTACAGGCCCTTGTAGAACTTTGAATCCATTTTATGGCAGATGTCAAATTGTATTTCATTTTCCCTATTTCCTTTTCTCTCTCCCCCCTTAGTTGGTATTCTCAGCACTTAGAACAGTGTCTGACAGATAGTAAACACTCCATGAATGAGTGTTGAATGAAGGAGCATCCTCGGTCTTCTCTTATCAGGTCATGTTGAAACCATGTTTCTAAAATAGACACTGTTATATGCAGATAACAACTAGTGATGGATCACAACTAGATTGTTTTTGCTTTGCTTTTAATAGTTATATATTTTTAAATGACATGAGAAATTTCTTTTGTGTAAAGTTTCTTGAAAACTTTTCTTTCTTTGATGTTTTTCCAGTCCTGTACTAATGCCAGGTGTACAGGGAAAACCTGGTCTACAAACAAATCATTAGGTTCATGATCAAGTGTTGACATTAATACCATTTACAGGGATGGAGCTGAGAACATTGCTGCGATAAATTTTTGTGTGTGCTCATGTTTAGCATCAACAAGGGGAAAGCACAGAGCAGCAGCAGCACCGTATTTCCTAAATATGATTTCCCCTCCTTTGTGGAATTTCTGTACTGTGATCTTTGTAATAATCTGCTTTTAGTAGACCGAGTCCTCTGTTGAGTTCAGTGTTAGGCTAATGTTACTATGCTGTTGATATACGTGTGATTCCTGCGTTAAGATGTGGATTCTGTGTTGCTTTCATGTCATTCTGTAGAAATTAAATCAATAGCACAAATGTTTTGGAAAACCAAAATATAGACAGCTTTTTCATTATTGGGCAAGGTAGGGTTGTCCCAGTGGAAGGGAAACTGGACTGCTTATTGGGAGTGGAGTGTCTCAGTTGATTTCTTGAGTTTTTATGCCAAAGTCCATTTTGGTGTAGAATAGCAAAGCATCTTACAAACATAAACAAGACTTTTCAAACCTGATTAGTTCTTAAACGACTTGAGTGGGCCTATGGCCTATAGAATAATTCACTTCATATTCCTTAGGATGGCTGTCAAGGACCCCTTGGTCTCTCCCTAAACTCCTTGTTCTTTATTTAATTCATTAATATTATTTTAAAAAATTTTAGTTTTTAATTATTTTTCTTAACTACCTCTTTAGTCTTTTCTTTCCTTCTCTCTATCATACTCCTTGTATGATAGCCAGCTTGTAGTTCTTAACCAATCTCAAATCTCCATGTCTGTTTTCCTTGAACCTTTTCTTAAACTTTGCTGTGAGCCAAGAATGGCCTTTCTCTCCAGATCCATTTGTTAAAATTCTACTGTCCCTTCTGGGCCCACTCAAATGCTACTTCTTTTATGAAATTTGTTTTAATTCTTGCTTCTGGAAGCAATTCTATATTCCTACAGGCCCTTGTAGAACTTTGAATCCATTTTATGGCAGATGTCAAATTGTATAATTCCATTATCTGCACACATACCCCATCAGTGTTGATGCATAAATTTCCTGTGGAAGGACTGATTATACCTTCCCTCGATATCTCCTACAGGTTTCACCATTCCAACTTACATAGAACAGATGTTTAGTCAATATTTGCTGAATAAATATTAACTGTACCCCTTCTTTCTTATTATTGTGTTGTATCCAACAAGAAGTAGATACATTGTTTGCACAAGCTGGTGACTTAAAACAACTGAAATTCATTGTTTTAGAGCCTGGAAGTCTGAAACTAAGGTGCTGGTGGGACACGCTCCCTGAGCCTGAGTGAAATCATTCCTTGCCTCTTCCTAGCTTCTGCTGCTAGCCAGCCGTCCTCAGCCTCCCTTGACTTGAACCTGCAACTGTCTCTACTCCGTCTTCATGTGCTTTCTCCTGTGTGTGTCTTTCTGTGTCCAAATTACTTCCACCTATTCTTTTTTTTTTTTAATTGAGATATAACTGACATTGCATCAGTCTGGGGACTGATTTGGAATATGTATATATTGCTACCCTAAGTTTAGTAGACCCTTATCACTACATTCTATAGTGACTAGAATCCCCCCCTTTTATGGAGGAATCTGGTCACAGTGGGTAAGAGTCTACCAGCTCTCCTGGGACCTGAGCTTCACCAATTACACCTTCAATGATTCTCCTTTCGAGTGGGGTGACATTCATAGGTACTGGGGCTAGGTCTTTGATCTGCCTTTCTGGGCACACCATTAAACCCATAACACCAGGGTAAAACAAAATCTTGTGTAAGTAACTCCTGGGTCCTCATTTAAGCCATAGCTGTATTATCTGTATGTCTGGTTTTATGTTTTTAAATAATTTGTTGTCCAACTAGTCATGAAAAGCAAATATGGAAAAGGCCTATGAGCCCTGCACATTTGAATATACTTATGGAGATGACTTAGCCAAGTCAGCTTAAGGGGTACACATGTGGGAATATCTTGTGGGGGGATTGTCCATATTTCAGATAGGTTTCACTGAGAACATGTGACTTCCCAGTATTTATACTGAGACTTCCTTATAGGTGCTCTCAACACCCCATGGCCTCCCTTTGCATTCCTGGGGGGACAGCACTAAGTGGTGGTACGGAATGAAAAGACACTAGACTTGGGTTCACCATAAGAGCTGTCAGGACCTATTGAAAGCCTGTTTTCCAGTGTTTCACATGAATTTATCCCAGGTGATCTAACTCTTAACGGCACCCTGGGGAGCCGCACAGCAGTGGTATAACAATGTTCATTTCTGCTCCCATCTTCTGTACAGGAAAAGAGCGAAAAGCTGGTGTTAGAAGAAACAGCCTTTCAAGAAATCGAAAGGGATTTTCAGGAGGTTCTCAATGAACTTTCAGGAGACAAAAGCCTGGAAAAATTTAGGGTTGAATATGAGAAACTTCATGCTGTCATGAAGAAGTCTTATGACAATGAGAAACGTCTCATGGCAAAGTGCAGAGAGCTTAATGCGGAGATTGTGGTTAATTCCGCCAAGGTCGCCACTGCCCTGAAGGTCTCCCAGGATGACCAGACGACCATCGCGTCCCTGAAGAAGGTCAGTGACCTGGCACTGGCGGTGCCAGGCGCCATCAGTGAGTCCTCCACTTCAGATGCCTCTCTGTCACCCTTTGGGCAGCTCTGGGCTGGGATAAGGAGTTACAAAGTAAAACATTCCACGATTTATCTATTCATTATGCTTGGGAATAGTGTTCATTTTCAGAGGAAATAATTAGCCCAGGTGAATCTCACGATGCAGAAAATAATGTAGAACTTTCTTGACTTGCTTTCTAAGAAATACTGAGTTAGCCAGGAGAAGTAGAGCTAGTACAACATGAAGAATCTCAGTGTGTCTTATTTGATGCAAGGTGAGTCCCTAAGTATCAGACGATGCTAGCTTGTTAAAGAGATTTCAGATTTACATGCTTTCTATTGTTTCAGGAGAGACTGCCCTGAGAATTCCCAGAGAGTAATTTTCACGATCTTTCTTCTTTTTACTCCCCTTTTCCCACCTTCATCTTCCTAATTCCTCATAATAGGAAGACAGGGTTTCAGCCTAGAGCGGTGGGTGCTGAGGAAATGTGCTTTTGGTTTATAACTTTGTTTTTCATCCTGAAAAATGTTACATTATTTTGAAAGTAAAACATAAATGTTCTTTATATATCATAGCATGATGGGAGGTTAAGACTTTAATTTATAATCAGAACTCTACTGATCAGAAAGAATCTATAAACTGTTTAAGTAATTCCCTTGAGAACATGCAATTAAATATACCCCAATCCAAATGACTCCCAAGACCAACGCAACATAAGACTTACCTCTTTTTTTTAGAAACAGCCTTTGTAAAATATAATTTTCTCTCTTGTTATTTTCTTACTGAAAAGCGAGTACTAGAAGGTTTTAATGGAAAAGACACTGTTATTGTAAATGTAAAAACTGGAGATGGAAGCCATGAATTAATTAAATCTAAATGATGAAGCTGATTTGGACAAAACAGCATCTAATCATATTTTCATTTAAAAATTCTTTATTTGTTGTGCCCAAAATAGTACATATGGTTGCTACAGAAAAAACATAGCCCATAAACTGACATTTTGTTTTGAATCTGTAAATTATATGCTGTCATTATCTAAGAGGCATCTGTCTCTCTAATGTAGTAGTGAACATGAATTTAAATTAAATTAAGTATTCTCTTCCACTGACTTTGTTCTTTGTCAACATAAAAGTGGAATGTTTGCCCCTAAAGCTTATAGATTCTTACCTGTGTAAAGAACTCCCATTCTACTTGACAACATCTTGCAAGACAGCTAAGTGGCAAGGTGAACCTCAAAGCCATGGCAACATTTACTGTGCTTTGTTTACTTACACAAATGACTGCAATTCACTTGAAGTATTTATGTTAATATTCCACATCGCATTCCATAACAGTAAGAAAGCCAGGGTTGCTTGAGTCATTGTTTCCATTCCCTGCTATGGGTTTGTTTTTTTCCCTATAAACATTTGATGAGACTGCCTGGGTTAAGAAATTCCCAAGGCTGTTTTGTACAATTAGGTAACAGCGAAGACCACCTTGCTATGGATTGTTCTACAGCTCATGCTGCAGTCCAGGAGCTGACTTGAGACTTGAGAGCAAAGCGTATTTTTAAATTTTGCTTCTTTTAAGAGTCACAAATTCAGGGCATGGATCCAAGTTCATTCCCTGTGTGCTAAAGCTTATATTTTTCCTATGAAAATCCTCGAGTTGGAAATGACTACATTTTGAGTTTTTTGTTCACCGGTCATAACATTTTTTAGAAATCGCTGTAGCAGCTGTCCTTGCTGTATGTGAGTCTGTAGCCACACAAGAAAATAATGCCCTTTGCTGGCTCATGTTGACGAATTCAATAAGTCAATAAAGACTTCATGATAATGTACAGTGCATAATCTTTTTTCCTGAAAATGACTACGCTAGTTGTCTTATTTTTCTATTTACTAAGCTGATCTTGCATCCGTGTCCTCGTTTGGTTTTTCTCATCGATATCCCATGGCCCATCTAGGAAATTGAGAAGGCCTGGAAGATGGTGGACACAGCCTATGACAAAGAGCAGAAGGCAAAGGACACGATTCTTGCCCTGAAAGAGGAAATAGTGCACCTTACCAAGCTAGTCGAGCAGGGGTCTGGACTGTCCATGGACCAGGATAGCAAGTAGGTCACCCCCTTCTTGATGTCTCTCGAGCTTGCTTTCGCAGAGGCCTCTTTCCACTTGGGGCTTGCCTGGTTTCTCCTGAGTGTTCTTTGTGATGCAACGCTTTTTTTCTTTGTGGGTTCCCCAGAGATTGTTTTCTGTCTGTTGTCATTTTTCTCCTTTTGAATGCTCCTTTTCTCCACTCAAAAAGTCTTAATCTGTGGTTATATTAAATGTCTAGTGAGGAGAAAGACAAATATCTAGTGGTGTCACTTATTAGTAGAATATAGAGAAACCTAACAAAGGGTCAGACAAAGACTAACGCAAAGTTGGCAATAGAACCGAGGCCACTGGTAGGGTGAGGAGGGAGCACAGTGGACTGTGGGTGCTTTGATGGTGGGTGTAGTGAGCTAACAAAACACCTGGAGGGGGAGACCCTATGCTTCTAAATTACAAGCAACATTGTAAACTGTTACCTCAATAATAGAAAAATCCATTAACTGAGACTCAAAGTACGACTACTGTTTCAAAGTGATTTTTAGATTTTAGGTTTATTTCTCTAAGACTTGTGTGGAGTGAACCTACAATCTTTGTGCCCTGATTCCCAGCTCCTTCCAGTGCCCCCTCAACCCACCCCATGAGTAGCTTCATCACCATCCCTCCTACTCATCAGATTTTCAGTCAAAAAATAGAGCCGCTCTTCACCCCTGACACTCCTTCACTGACTCAGTCAGTCTCTTCTTTTTTAAAAAGATGTATTTATTTAATGCAGAAAGAACTGGGGTACAGGCCACAGGTGCAGGGGCAATGAGAGGATTCACCAAAGATAGAGTGGGGAGCAGGACAGGCAGATGGATGAAGTACACTGCTGAGGGGAGCAGCAGGCAAGACAGGAGAGGTCTGCTGCGCCATGTGGGTTACTTCCAGGGCCGGGGATCAAACTGGCACTGAAGTGGCTCCCGCTAGCTTGCAGTACTGTGCTTTAACCCACTGCGCCACCAGGGAGGGCCCTGACTCAGTCTTCTAAGTCTCATTTCGATCTTTCTCTCTTCCCTATGGCCAGTGCTGCTGTCTTCATTCTGGGGCCCAATGTCCTGTGACATTTGATTGTAGATACTTAACTGATCTCCCTGATTTCAAGGACACATCTTCCTCTTGACTGCCTTCCACATACCATATTTATGCTTCTAAAATTCTAATCTTATTCTTCCAACTCTGGAAGAACACTCTGGTGAACATTTTTGATAGCTGCCCATCCCAAAGACTATAGTCCAAAATATAGAACATGTCCTCCAGAGACTTTGTTAGGTCTGTGCCAGGCAGCATCGCTAGGTTCAGGTCCAGCGATGCCATGCTAGCTCATGCCACTGATGCTTTTGAGCATGCTCTCTGGTATGCAAGGAACGCTGTTTCTTCCTAGTGAATAACTATGCATCCTTTAAGATCCTTTTCAAACATCTGCTTAACGTCACCATCATCATCTCTATTCCAGCCTTCTTTCTCACCACCCCCAGAAGTCAGATTGCATTGTCACACTGCCCTGTTAGTACAGGACTCCACAAATACTAGTGTGACATTCATCACTTTGTTTTGAAATGACTTGTTGATGCGCTCCTTGCTGGCTAGGGTGAACTCCTTGGAGGAAGACACCCTTGCTTCACCACAGTGTAGCGCTATGCAGGGCATGAAGCACTTTGCATTAACTGATGCATCAGCAGTGAGTGTATGCTTCCTTATCCTAACCTAACTGATCTCTAGATTTATTATGTTTTCTAGATCAGTTTACCCAGTGCTAATAGATCTACATGCAGGTGTTGAGGGGCATGGACAAATAGAAGATGGGTTGGTGATAATGTACTGTATTTCTTCATTAAACAAATCAAGCATAATCACAACAACTCCTGCCTGAAGGGCGATGTGAAGAAACTGATTCAACTAAGAGATTATTATTTTAATCTGGGGACCTAAATTACTCTCCCATATGTACACATGTTCTACTCAGCCTCCACTAATCCACCTGTGCCAATACCCCCTGTGCCTCCCCTGACCTCCTTGTGGCGTCACTAAGAAGGGTTTTTTTTTTTTTTAAAGATTTATTTATTTGTGCATACAGAACTGGGGTACAGGCCAGAGGCTCAGGGGTGGTGAGAGGCTTCACCAGAGACAGAGCAGGGAACAGAACAGGCAGATCGACGAAGTACACTGCTGAGGGGAGCAGCGGGCGGGTCAGGAGAGGTCTGCCGCGCCATGTGGTCACCTCCGGGGCAGGCGGGGATCGAACTCATACAGAAGCGGCTTTAGATTCTCAGTGCTGTGCTTTAACCCGCTGCGCCACCAGGGAGGGCCAAGAAGGGTTTTAATGAGACTCGAGCATGGTAAGAAGAACTGAAGCAACTTTCCATCGCAGCAGTTAGCTCTGGCACTGTGCCCAGGGGTAGCGATCTCTCCTCATAGTGACCTACAAGTTTGAGGTTTTATTTCTGGAGAAGAATTTGAAAGCAGTTGTGAAGGTTCCTTATTAAATATTTTTGCTCAGTCCAAGTTGTTGGTAAGTAAACACTGTCAAATTACTGTTTCACGCAGGCGTTGGATGACTGTCAGCCGCCAGTGTCTCAAGTGCAAGTTCTCTTCTGCTTTCTCAGCTTTAAAGTAACTGCCTAGCTTAGATTAATTCTGCTGCACAGGTCATATCATGCATAGTTTTTCCACTTTCAAAATGCTAATTCTGCAGAAAGTCATGCCAAATCATATGTAATACTCTTTGAAATGCCGAGGTAACTGGTTTACAATTCAAATCAATGAATATTATCACGTATCCTCCAAAAAACAGCGTCATGTACGATTTTCCAAATTTTGTTCTTGGGAACAGTTTATCTGGGTTGCATCCCACTGGGGGAAACTAATCTCTGTGGTTGAATGGATAGAAAACTGGCAATGTGTATTATTTGATTATGTTTGTGTTTCAAGTTTGGCTTTATAGCTGATCAGAGCCCTCCAGTGAACATAGTAAACAAAGAATTTCCTAAATTAACATTTTCTTAGGGTTAATTACAAGAATTGACAATAACAATATAATATTTTGGTAGCAAAGTCAAATAATACAGAGGTGTGAAAAATAAATGGTACAAATTGCCCCTTCAACTCTTCCATCCTAAATTCTACTCCTCAGAGATAACCAGTTACCAGATCTAGAGGTCTATAAAAATGCCTGTAAAACACAGACACACACATGTGCAAACACAGAGACTGTGATGTCTTAAAAATATGAAAAGGAATCATACTAACATTGGAACTTCTTTTTTCAGTTAATGACTTGCAAACAGCTTGCCTGTCAGAGCATAGAGATCTTTCCCTGTCATACCTGAATAATGCCAACCCATGGCCTGATGTCTTTTCCATGCAAATGAGTTCAGAGTATGATAAGAAAGACCCTTGACAGGTGGCCATTTATTCTGTCTCCTGTGTTCTTCTTTTTAGCATTCGAGATTTACTGAAGTTCAAAGAAGAAGTGACAAAGGAGCGAGACCAGCTCTTGTCAGAAGTGGTGAAATTACGAGAATCCTTAGCTCAGACCACTGAACAGCAGCAAGAAACAGAGCGCTCCCGAGAAGAAGCAGAACAGGCCATCAGTCAGGTCTGGTCAGTAGGGGGGCAGGATGAAGGGCTGTTACCTTCCAGAAGGACATTACGTCTTTCCACAGACCCTCCTCATTCCTTGCTCAGATCCCCGGTGTGGGGAGGAAGCATCTACTGTCCTGCTTGCTTCTCCGGTTTATTCTCCCAAGATCAATGGTACTTGAGTCATTTTTCCAACCTTCCTTGACTGAGAAGGCACTGAGGCAGGGTGCTGACCCTGGCTCTCGCCCGAGGTGTCCCTGTGATGGCCAGGGTGCCCAGCATCTTGAGTGCATCTTGAGATGGTGAACATAGGTTCCCTTTGTCTTTTTTTTTTTTTTTAAATTTATTTATTTATGCATGCAGAACTGGCGTACAGGCCAGAGGTGCAGGGGCAGCGAGAGGACTCACCACAGACAGAGTGGGGAGCAGAGTAGGCTGCTGAGGGAAGCAGCAGGTGAGACAGGAGAGGTCTGCTGTTCCATGAGGGTCACCTCCGGGACTGGGGATCCAACTCACACTGACGCGGCTGTGGCCAGCTTGCAGTGCTGCGCCTAACCTGTTGCGCCACCAGGGAGGGCCCCCTTTGTCTTTTTTATAAGGAAGCCATTTAGTGGAATTCTTCTGAAAACTTTTATCTAAAGTCAGAAGAGAAGCAGATAATGTGGGGATAGAGTCCAGTAGAAAAATAGGAGTTGTTTCTCATGAGACCTTTCATGGAATCTGACCAGGATTTGTTTAGGAATATCCGGTACTTGTGGAAGACACGACTTCATATTTAGGTAGATGGCTAGATTTTATTTTACGCCTAATATAGGAGAACTGGGTAAATTCTCTCCATGTTTGACTTCCCTAGAATCCTAAGCTTCCATGTTTAATTTTTTTGTACCATTTTTTGTGGATTTCTCTCCACCATCAGGGTAGATGTTTGATGTCAAAGTCCTAAAAAACAATATTGTTCTTGAAAAGCTTGAATCTTCGGGTTCAGAGATCCTACCGAGGTAACACAAAGGATTGCCCTGGAAACGAAGGAGCTGAGAAGGGGGATTCCTACTGGCCAGGGCCTGTCATTCCCACAAGCTCATCTCTGGCCTTCCTGCCCTCTCTGTGCCTCAGTTCCAACAAGAGATCCAGCTTCGCCAAAATGAAGCTTCACGAGAGACTCGGAAGAAGGAAAAACTAGAGAAGGAGCTCAAGCAGATTCAGACTGACATGGACACCCGGCAGACAGAAATCAGAGCTCTTCAGCAGTATGTGCAGAAGAGCAAGGAGGAGCTTCAAAAGCTGGAGCAGCAGCTGAAGGAGCAGAAGGTGGGTGGGGCGTGGCTGCTGAAGGTTCCTCTCCAAAAATAAGGTGACTTTGTTCCAGGCATGTTGGAACACTTTGACTTTTCTTTGCAAAGCAGCAAACCCCCTTCACGGTGGTTATTGTAACACCACACAGCTCCACAAGGGGCCTTTGAATGGCCTCCATAGTTACCCGTACCTTCCCCTGGGCCCCGGGCTCAGCAGGTTAGTTTCTTTTTAATCTGCCCTCAATGAATATTGTACACGTAGAAAAGTGAACATCACAATTGCGCAATCTGATGAATCTCTCCACTTGCATATTCTATCTGGGTTATTTGCACTCAGTCTAAGAAACATACCCATTCCTCTTTCTCTTCAATCTCTCCCGATTCAGAATTCTGAACAGAATTAATTTTCATCTGTTTTTATGCTTTCAGGAAAATCAGACAGGATGTACTCATGTCTGCCTAACTTCTTTCCCTTGATATTGGTGGTGGGGTTGATTTATGATGGTGCCACATTGACAGAGAACTTTTCTGTCCAGTATGGCAGCCACGACTCACCTGCAGCTATTTAAGTTAATATATTAATAAATTCCATAAACCTTAAAATTCAGTTCAGTTATGCTAGGACCATTTCAAGTGCTAAATAGCCACAGGTGGCCAGTGACTAGTATAATGGACAGCACAGATGGAGAACACGTCCATCATTACAGAAAGTTCCATCTACTGGACAAACCATGCACTCACTAAGCCACTCCCTCCTGCTGCTGCATCATGTTGTTGCACGGTGGATATAGTGTGCAGTACTTTAATGGGTTTATCTTTAAGTTCCAAGTTTAAGAAATCGTACTCACTCTTTAAGCATTTAAACTAAGTTACTCTTTTTAATCTTGCCCCTATACTACCAGTTAAAGGTTAATTTGAGTTGTAAAAATTCTGGCCTTTCCACTCTTATTTCTTAAAGAAGCAATTCATGGCATTGAAAAAAAGTCATTTGTTGAAAATATTTTCTCTTAGGAAACCTCTAAGGAATTGTAAAATCTTATATTTTTCTACTTAAAAAAGGATACTAGAATATATTTCTTTGCCAGTCACTTATTAATTCCATATAAAGTCATAAATAAAATACATACTACGTAATGTGCAGGTCCATGAGAAAAAGACTTTATGAAGCATGAAATTCAAGAGATTTTGGACATTATAAGAAACAACCGAGGTTTGCTTAGTATTATCCAGCAATCGTGAAAAACAATTGCATTTTTAGAAAAGTTGGCTATATTTTACTTACTTCTTTTTTTTTTTAAAGATTTATTTATTTATATATGCATACAGAACTGGGGTACAGGCCAGAGGTGCGGGGGGTGGGGGTGGGGCTGGTGAGAGGATTCACCAGAGACACAGTGGGGGAGTAGAACAGGCAGATTGAAGAAGTACCCTGCTGAGGGGGGCAGCAGGTGAGACAGGAGAGGTCTGCCGCACCATGTGGGTCACCTCCGGGACTGGGGATGGAACTCACACTGAAGCAGCAGCGGCCAGCTTCTCAGTGCTGTGCTTTAACCTGTTGCGCCACCAGGGAGGGCCCTTTACTTACTTCTTCATGATGGGAAATTGGATAAAATTGCCCCCTCCCCCATATTTAACTTTTGCTTGCATGGAAGTTCTATTTTGGAGTAAGTATCTGAACTATCTTCTCTTTTTCCTTCAATCCATCTGCTATCCCAGTATTCTTCAAATAAAAATGCCCCTCTCCTACCCCTGCAAACATAATCCTCTGTTTTCTAAAATCACGCCTGCTAAGGAAAATCTAGGGGAGAAAGAGGAAACTCCGACACTGCAGACAGGCAGATATCCATCATCCCGTTGCTGTTCTGTGGTTTGACTTATGTTGGATTAAGAGGGAATTGTTTCTGTGTCGACAGTAGTGAGCGGTTCTGCCCGCGAAGTGTGGCTGGCATGTTAATGCAGGATTTGCTTCTGAAGCTGTAGTTCCCAAGCCCCATAGCTGATAAAACCCGTTTGAATCTCTGGTTCATTTACAATGATTACAGCAATTGTTGCCTTCGCAAAGCCTGCCAAGCAGCAAACAGGCATTAAAATATTTATCCACCACCTGTGAACAAGACTTCCCAAGGCTCTCAGATTAAAAAAAAAATTATACTTCCTGTGTTATTCATTAGAAGGCGTCATTTGCCTCAGCCATTCAACATTCATCATGCTTGAGTGCCTGAGTGCTGTCAGAGGGGAGAAAGAACAATGTCTACCAAGACAAAGGGAAGTGTGGTTGCTGTTTTTGCCCCAGGAGCTTTTAGGGCATGTGGACATGCAGATATTGCAATCAGATTAAAAAGCATTAACCAGCTCGTTCTGCACTTTCAGATACTGAATGAGAGAGCTGCAAAGGAACTGGAGCAGTTTCAGATGAGAAATTCTAAACTTCAACAAGAGAATGAGCAACACAGTCTGGTTTGTGAGCAGCTATCCCAGGAAAACCAGCAGAAGGCGTTGGAGCTCAAAGTAAACACCCAATGACATGTCTGTCCACTAGTGCTCCTCCCTCCTTTCCTGCTAAGAGAGGTTTACCTGGGTGGTGGGGCTCTTGGTTGGCTAACCCTAGTGGGTTGGTGCAGCAGAAGCAGGCGCAAGCCTGTGCCATTGCTTTATGCCCAGAAGCACAGTTTGACAACTTCCATTCTTACTCATAAAATTGCAAACCTGATTATTGATTATGTGATTATGCAAATGCTTTCCAAAATGAGCTCAGAGGTTTGCCTCTGTAATTTAACCTTGCAAGTAACCCCTTGCCCAGAGGTAGAAACCATTTATATGAGTGAGTGGTGAAGCTTGCATGGAGAAGGTGAGAGGGGAGGGGTGGGAGTGAACAGTACTTTTGGGTCTTCACGTCACTCTGTCCAGTCTACATTTTCAAGACAATCTGTTCTTTTCTTTGTCCTCCTGGAAGAGTGCTGGCAAATTAAGTTTGGTTTTATACTTGGATATACATCGTGTGCCTATATTTTTAACAGAGCAGCTTTATGGTTGTCATTTTAACTCTGAAAAATCCGTAAACTCTATTTGAGTGTATTAGGATACTGAGGATAAAATGAATGACCGATCAAGAATAATGCAGAGATTTGAGCACTCACATACACATTTATTTACACATCTTGTATCTTATTTTGCATGCTGTATGAGGGAGTTTTTGGGATTTTTCTATAGTCTGACCATGGAGTGTGGCTAAATAACTACTGAGTTAGAACATCTTAGACTCAAAAGGGACCTTAGGCCAAGTAATTTGGCCCCTGTCAGGAACATTTCGAGCAGTCTAGCGTGCTTTGATTTGAAACCATTCTTTATGAGAATGCCACGAGTTGGAACAGAAACCAAACGACTGCTTAAGACAAAACAATATTTTATGCCCTGAGGTGAAATTAAAGTAAAAATACATATGCCACTCATTCATTCTCTCCTTTGATGACATGAGTGGGGCACCTTGGGGGATGAATACTTTTGTTACCAGAGTCTGAGCCTAAGGGGCTCTGCCTTTAGTAATACTTTGAAAATAGCATGTCCAGTTAAATTCAGTCTCTTCCCTATCAAAAGCTGAGGATAATCACGAACCTTTAATATCAGAAAAATGATTAGTTGCTTTCCCAGTAATTTCTATGAGTGGCAAAACTTTAAAATCGTGATTTGAATAAATGTATACAACTTGAAGTCCACAGACAAAAAATTAAGTGCTTTCCTTTGCTAGAATTTTTGTTCTGGTGCCTTTTGCCATCTCATACACTTGCTAATATTAATGTTGCCCGGTCCACAGGCCCGTATGTCCATCTATGGGCTCATATTCCATGGGGAAGGAGGACTCTTTTCTCAGGGGTATGTAATTGCCCTGCAGCAGCCTCCTGGGACCGAGAGAGTGTCTGACTATTTTTAGCATGTTAACCTTCTGAGAGTTCACTGTGTGAGGCTATGACAATTGCTAATGGAATCAAACATTGGCATACAAACCTCACACATTTATGCTACCTACAACTCAGTATTCTTGTTTGATTCAATGGTACCTTAAGGCATCAGGTTTGATCAGTCTTTTCATTATTTATAGCTTACAGAACCACACATTTTATTTAAAAAGGGTGTTTCAATTGCTCTCAAATCTAGTGTGCATTTTGATCTAATCCCATAAAAGAACTTTTCATGGATATAGGAAGAATTTCCTTGTGCTGCCAGGTTTGCGTCATCTCACTGGTTAACTCTCTCGCCCTAATGACAGGCTAAAGAGGATGAAGTCCACCAGATGCGTCTTGACATTGGGAAGCTCAACAAAGTCAGGGAACAAATCCACAAGAAATTGAGGCAGATTGAAGAGCAAAAGGCTGATGTGGAGCAGAACAAGGAAACCCTAAAAAACCAGATAGTGGGATTAGAGAGAGGTAACCCAAGATCCATCCATGCTATGTTTTATACACTTGTACACTTTTTATGGGTAAATAATGCCATATGGCAACTCAAGGCTCTTTGGGTACAAACACGAGCCAGGTGAAATGAAACCAGTTAAATAACATGCAGCCTGGTATGTGACCTCATTTTGATACCTTAAACCTTCTTACTGCAGTTGTTTTCAATGGACTCATTGGCACCATGATGTTCAACCCAAAGTATTGCTCAGTATTATAATATTGGGGGAATAAATAATGTCAGTGTTTCTGGGTTCTACATCACCTTTTGCTTTAGCCCCTTTTTATCCCATTGAAGGTAGGGGACACATTAAAATGAATGTACCCAGTTAACATTATTTGAGACATCATCACCAAGAATCAGTGGGGCAAAAATGATATGGCTTCTAGTTTCTTTCTTCTGTTAGCACTTATCTATATAGTGAATTCTTGTTTTAACCAACATTGACCTGTGGAGAAAAAATGATCATTAAACATGAAAAAGTAGTCAACTCTACTATTAATCAAAGAAATGTAAATTAAATATAGACATATTGGTTTAAAAAATATCAGGTTGTCAAAGATCAGGGTGAAGGATAATACCTGGGGTGGTTTAGGTATGAATTTAAATGCTATTAATTTTCTGAAGAGACATTTGGCCACAGCAGAGAAATGTCTTTAAAACAAAAATCCCGTTTGATGCAGGATTTCCTCCTCTGAAGGTGTAAATGAATAAGAATTTTCACAGGATTATTGCTTATACTTTCACAAAAGGAAAAGAAAAAGGAAGTGGCTTGAATGTTAAATGGGGGATTGTCTAAATTAGCCATTTTTATACGGTGAAATTTATTATGTTTGTTAATTACAAAAGCAAGCTATAAAACAGTACAGTCTGATTTCCTTTTGATGTAGAAGTATAGGAATGTGTGTGTGTGTGTGTAACTTGTACTTTGCATGTTAAATAGTCTTGAAAGAGACTTATCAAAGTCCTAAATAGATTCTGGAAGATTTAATCTTTTCTCCCTTTTGTTTACTTATATCTCTAATTTCTTTCTGTATCTTTAGTTACTTGTATAATAAAAATGATTCAGAAAGAGCAAGGATTTTTTTTGCAATCAGAGGACCCGGCCTCAGGTCTGCACAGACCTCTAGCCTGGACCTAAACTCTCAGAGCCTCAGTTTTCATCTCTCTAGTGGGACAGGAAGAGCTGCCTCACTGAATTATAAGGAAAATTAGGTGACACTCAGTAAACACTAGTTTCATAGATCTAGGCAAACATAGAAAAAGCAGTTTTTGTATCACTCTGGCAGATTCTTTGTTAGGTTGACTTTTATTATTTTTATCCCTGGTTATTTAGAGGTGGAGGCTTCAAAGAAACAAGCAGAACTTGATAAGAAAGCAATGGATGAGCTTCTGAGAGAAAGAGACATACTAAATAAGGTGAGTTTGTTACAGTAACATGGTAAATCAGATGTCTGTCTTCAGTGCAATACTATCTGTCTATAACTGGTTGTATGGGGAAGAAAAACTCTGAGGCAAACAAAAGCGGATTAGAATAAATAATAGTGCTGGGTTTTCTTCTAGGCTGCTGTCTGGTCCACCATTCACAGGCCCTCAATTGAAACTGCATTATCACCTATGAGCACAAAGCGACTTTGGAGAATTATCATAGAAACTAGCAGGGGATTTCAAAGTGTTCTCTTTTTGTGGCTGGTGTATTATTCAGCAACATAAGCTGTTGATCCAAATTCCTGAATTTAATACCTGTAATCTGAAATTTTTGCTAATCCAGAAAAAAGGGGACTACTAATAACAATTTAACCAGGTGGTATTAGGTGTGTGCATGGCTGGTTGGTGATACAGTGCGTCCCTAACCTTTCTTCCAGCTTTCAGAGTTGTTCGAGGCTTTTTTTTTTCCTTTTCCCAATCCCTGGCAGTTATTAAGATCAACGTAGTGCAAGATCCAAGGAGGGTTTGGGGAACATGAGGTCTAGAGATCCTTTATTCAATGATTCCGCCTCCCCCCAACATTTCTTCTTCTCCCTGCTCCCCTCCAGAGAATTCCTTATGAGTGAGCATGGTCATTCATAGGAGATAACTGCTTTGAAGTATTTAGGGTAAATGTTTCTGCTTAGAGATTTCCTCCAGGAAGGATAAAGCTACAAACCAGGCTTCCACTGGAGAGGCTGCTTCAGAGCAGGCTGATGGCCTATGATGCTTCACTTCATCAGAGTAGACACAGCCCAGATTCACTCACTCTGACTTTCGTTATTTCTCTAGATTTCTCAAAATTGAACAGATGTTAACAAAATGGGCTACTTGTTAGCTTACTGGAGATTATTCAGGGAACCATTGGGGGTTGGTTCCCTTCTTTTTTTCGGGGGTTGGCGGGGGTTCCTTTTTTTTTTTCATAATCCTAGAAACTGTTCCTTTATTCTGCAAATTGGTACATGTAAGCAATGTCATCGAATCTGGATTTTTCACATTTATTTTGAATACATACACTATTTAATCCATTTATATCTTACATATACTGGTAAGCAACTACTAGAATCCTTGCCAGTATAGGACATGCAGACCAACATTACTTTTACATTTATTTGTTTGCTTTGACTAATGTCAACTCCTCCTTTAGGGCAGGTATATGTATTTTTTTCTTTCTTGGCCATTATGTCTGTAGTTCCTGGCACGGCGCCAGTCCTCTGCAGGTAAAGTGCTCAGCCTTTATCAGTAGTACATTCTTTTCCCTCTGACATGAAATGCCACCTTCATCAAATAAATGAGTGACACAGTTTTGACAGGCAGCACTGTTAATATGTTTTGGTTCTTTCAGTGTCATGTTGAAGTGACTTTATCTTTTATAGAGCAAATGTTTAATTCAGTACTTGAAAATTGAGTCGACCTTTTCTATTTTCTACTCCATCACCCAAGTGAGGTTTAATGTGCCTTTTACCTGTTTATATTCCAGTGGCTTTCAGATCTGGTTGCAGGTCTGTCTTGATTAGAGGTTTGGGCAGTTACCCTATGGAGCCCAAGGATCTAGCTGGACTTCAGGAACCGATGATAGCAAGTTGGCCAGGCATTTTGGGGGTCACAGCAAACCCTCTCTACCATGAAGACTTCTTGCTGAGTTTTTGCTTTATCCTTTCAGTTAAGATTGCTGTTCTCTGTTTCCTAGCCCATATGCAGAGAATGTCACAAATAGCTCCCAAGTTTTTGAGTTGCAAAAATTTAAAGGCCCTGTATCAAAAGTTCCTGGGAAGGGCCACCTTAATCACTCACTTGTGTCTAGCGGAGAGACCTTTTTCTTAGTCATGGCTGCTAGAGTTGTATGGCTATGAATTCCCCCCAAATTTCTGCCATTTCTAGTTCAGTATAAGAAGCTGTGAGTACAGGATTTTAAAAATATTTGCATGCCTAGGGCTCATCCAGACCCACTAAATCAGAATCTTTGGAATTGAGACATACACTTTTGTTTTTTAAAAAACTGTGTTAATTTTTGGGAAAGATTTATTTATTTATGCATACAGAACTGGGGTACAGGCCAGAGGTGCGGGGAGGGGGGAGTGAGAGGATTCACCAGAGACAGAGTGGGGAGCAGAATAGGCCAACTGAGAAATACACTGCTGAGGGGAGCAGCAGGTGGGTCAGGAGAGGTCTGCCGCACCATGTGGGTTACCTTCTGGGTGGGGATTGAACTCATGCGGAAGTGGCTTTAGCTTCTTAGTGCTGGGCTTTAACCGCTGCGCCACCAGGGAGGGCCCGGGTTAATTTTTTTTATTGTTGTAAAATACATATAGCGGGTTAATTTTTTTTATTGTTGTAAAATACATGTAGCAATATTTTCCATTAGTGGTATTTAGTATGTTCACTATGTCATGCCAGCATCACCACTATCTATTCCAGAACATTCTTATCACTCTGAAAGGAAGCTCTGTACCTGTTAAGCTGCCACTTTCCAGTTGCCATTTTTTACCCTTGGTGACTACTATTCTGTGGATTTGACCATTTTATATATTTATATAACTGGCATTTCATAACATGTGACCTTTTATGTCTGGCATCTTTCATGGAGAATAATATTTTCAAGCTCTAACTATATTGTAACATGTATCAATGCTTCATTGCTTTTGTATGGCTGAATAATATTTCACTGTAATGGTTGTTTCTCTCTTCATCACTTGATGGACACTTGGGTTGCTTCCACCCTTGGCCCTTATGAGTGTAATACTTGTTTATTTGAGCAAGGTTTTGTTGAATTAGGTTGAACATTCAATTCTTTTGGGTATCTACCCAGGAATGAAATTGTTGAATCAGATGTTAATTCTAGGCAACTGAAGTTTTAATAAGATGGTTTCATTTTATTTTTTGGTCAAAGTCCATGTTGTGTGATTAAATTTCATTGTTCTAAACTTAAAAGAAAAGCCTAGATAGAGGTTGGAAAGCATGGATTCAAATTGGGCTCTGCCACTAACTCCCCTATTGTATGAACCTGTAGACAAGTAGCTTCTCTTGCTACCGCTCCGTCTGTGTCCTCCACTAAATTGGGTGCATTACAGTAGCCACTTCTTAGGGATGTTGGGCTTGCTTAGTACATTTAGATCTATGTTAAAGTGCTTTCTGCAAAATTAACAGAAGCTCTTACAAAGCAGTAAAGAATGATTATTTTGACTCATAAAAAATGCATCAAATTATTTTAGGGATGAAACTATGGGTGAATTTAACCCCAAATCCCCAAACATTTTGAGTAATGTGGCTGTTCTTTTGTCCTTAATTTTAGAATATGCTTAAGGCGGTCAACGCGACCCAGAAGCAGATAGACCTGGTAAAGCTCCATGAACAAGCCAAAAGGAACCTGGAGGAAGAAATTCAGAACTACAAAGATGAAGCTCAGAAGCAAAGAAAGATCATCTTTCAGCTGGAAAAGGAGCGAGATCGGTACATCAATGAAGCCAGTGATCTTACCCAAAAGGTAAGCCACCCCTGGCCCAGTGGGCAGGACACAGGCCCCTTCCTGTGATTGTCTCACATCATGGCAAAGAGGAAGACCTCCTCAGATTTCAGCCGTGTTCCACGTGAAGATTTTAGAGGAATGGTGTTGACAGAACAAAAGGCCCAAGTGGACTCCGGGTTATGTTGTGAAATAGACAAGAGATTCACTTGGGTTACTGTGTTTCCCCATCAGAGCCCCTTCGGCAAGTTCTTGCTCTCCCTCTTTCCTGTGTCTCCACTGCACAGGATCCAGGTTGGAGTCACCGCCTCTCAGCCTTTCGTTCTCACCCCCATCTGTCACTGAAACTTCTGTCCCTTACAACAAAGATTACAGCTTTAATTGTTAAGAGAAAAGTACCGATTGGATGACTTCATATTAATGTGTCAGGCACTACGGGTCTTAGCATTTTTATTTTCAAATGATTGCACACCTAAAACCTCACCAGTGGTGGAAATGCGCCGGCTGGGTAGCTGAGTTCCAGGCGCTGCTGCGTGTGAACTGCTTGAGAGCAGACGGCAGTCTTTTTAAGGATGACCCAGGGATTTGGACTTGACTTTGACTACTTATTTTAGCACATAGCCTACATTAGTCACAAATGGTTAGATCAGTGCTCTCGAGTGCATTGCAGATGGCATAGAGCAGAAGTTTCAGAATGGGGCAGAGTCCTGTGAAATCAATTTCAGCTGAGGCTGAGAAGCACCCTGGAGAGAGATGACTTCTGTGACGGGGGGCAAATTTCTGCTCCCCTCATCATGCGGTCTGCCGTGCAGCATAAGCCCTCTGTGCCGTCCCCTCAATGAAGCCAGCGGTGAGTTCTCCAGTGCTTACCAGTGCTCTTGCGTCTTTGTTTTGCTTTGGAGAGGAATCTCAATGATGATTGATGATGAGAAAGGGATAGCTGGCATGTGAGATATAAGCAAAAAGGGGAAACACCCTTACTGGTAGGAAATCAGCTTCTTCCCACTGAGATGAAATAAATGCTGAGCAGGTTTTCAGAAGATGCATTTGGAGGTGCACTGGTGCATATGCTCAGTCCTGCTCTGCCTTGTCCACGCTCTTCAAGTGACACCCCTGTCCCTGATACTGATAGGGAGCCCTTGGAATGAGACCCATTCCTCTTCCCATTTAACCATCTTAGAATCTCCACTGATGGATTTACCGACTCTGAGAGGACTGGTGGTCAGTCCAGGCACTCCTGTTCTTCAGCTTAGGTTAGCCTCTTAACCTCCGTGTCGGTCAGCTTCCCCTGTAATGTATGACCCCTACATCTCAGTGGCTCATAGCCATAGAGCTCTGTTTAGTTTTGCTCACATTATTGGCCTCCGAAGGTCAGCTGCTGCCCTGCTTCACGTCCTCTTCACTCCAGGCTGATTCTGTTGGGATGGTCTGGCCAGTTACAGAGGGAACAGTAGACCTTCTGATGATCTCAGAGCTGCTGGCAAGGGCCTGTCCACTCGTGCTATATCGGCAAAACAAGTCAGATGGGCAGCCTGGGCAGGAGTCTGGCCCTTGTAAGGGAGGGCCCTGTAGTGAGGCAGTGATCCGCCTGAGTGTACAGGCTGTCGCAGGATACTCTTTCTCCTTACTAGCAATCAGCTTTTCTCTCCTCCTGGCTGCCATTATGCTGGCAGCGCTAATAGTTACAAAAAGTTCCAATGGAATTATCACTTCAGGCTTAGCAAACCTCTGTCCCCTCTTTGCAACCTGAGCTGAGGCATCTTAAAAGATTTTTCATCCCAGCATGTATAGGAAATCATGTGCACAGGGCAGTGGGAAGAAGAGGGATGTGAGACTGTTCAGGGCTGGAGAACTAGCCCAGGGAAGCCAGTGTCCTACCTGCTCTTCCTGTGGGTGGAGGGAATCCTCGTTCTGGGGTCCACCTGTGACCCACTCCAGCACAGTCATTGATATGCTCTCCTCTGCGGGACAGAATCCACGCCCTTTGTTCTCCCCGGAAAGGGAGTCCTCGCTCCCCTTCTCTGGGCGAAGAGTCCTGTTCATCCTTCATCTCTGTCTTCCTCGGCGGAGCTGCTCTCTTTCCTCCTCGGCGCGTTAGTTATCTCAGCAATGGCGTTTGTCACCAGCACGTGTGGTTTTCTTATTTGCAGATTTGTTTTCCTTCCTTTACAGGAGCTTTGGGAAGCAGGAGCACGCTCATTCATTTCTTTATTTCCAGAGTTCTGATCAGTAGCAGCATCCTACAAGTGTCTGTGTAAATGAAAGATGATGAAAGGCACAAAGCAGCTGCCGCTGCTTTTAACATACGATTGTGCATTTCTCTGCTGCCTGGCAAAAGAGAGATACTGGTACCTAGTGTTGCTGTTCACTGCTTTTCACAATTTCTGATGTTTAATTCACTAGATTATATAATGGCTCACCTAAATAATTTAGGCATAAGTTCTTAAAATGCAATTTATCAACTACAGTCTTTCTATCTCTAATCTAATGCCTGACAGCATATATCAGTTCCTCTAGCAACTTGTTTCACCTCTTGACTTTTGATTAAGGGCAGGTGTGTATTTTGGTCCCTTCCCCCTATTTCTGCCCCCCCCCCTGTATTTCTGGTCCCCTCCCCATATTTCTTTCTTTCTTTACTGAGTCGCCCTCGCTCGCTCTCACACACTCACACACCATGCACACATACACCATTTGGACAAACAAAATTTCTTCCCATGCATTCTATTTATAGGGAATTGATTAATGTGGGTTGGGGAAGATGTTAAGAAACTGATATTTTTATCTAGTTCTAAATTGAGTAAACATTTTGGTTTTATCCTTGTGCCCAATAATTTCTTTTGTAGAGATTGAATCTATGGAAAAATAAGACATGCAATTTTTTAATAAAACACTATTCTTTTAAAAATTTGCTACATTTATTTCATAAAGTATTAGGTAGCCATGAAAATCAGGTGCTTGAAAAAATGTTTCAGTGGGGAATATGTTCACAGCATAGCTGTGATAAAAGTGGAATGTAAAATTATTTGTATGGTTTTAGTGCACTTTCATCTGTGTGCATAGGAAAAGGATGGAGCATACGTCAGGGGGTGGCTAAGGATTGAATGAGGTGATATTTGCAAATGTTTAGAACAGTCTGGCACACAGCAAGTGCTTTGTAAGTATTCCACAAAGATCCTAACAAATTTGTTGGTAAACAATACAGTTTTTCCCTTAAAATGACATTTTAGTATAGCCATTATCAACTTCTTATTAAATGCCAATAGATGGTAGCCATAGATAGAAAGTTTTAATAGCATCCAACACTAAAGCTGACAGAAAGTTAATGCTAAAATGGAAGAGAAGGGGATGGGTGAGAATTTGAAAGCCCACGAAGTTGAATTGAGAAAATCTACCTGAACCTTAACTCACAGACCCTTGAATTTGCTTCAGAAAAGAGTCTCTCTGAGAAGAGCTAGAGATATGTGCCAGGACTCTCCTGCCATCTCTCCCTGCCTCAGGGCTCTCTGACCCAGGAGCTGACCGCGGGACACCTCTATTTGCCAACTGTTTCCCCAAGCAGACAGGCCATCTGGTCTCACAGTGCATTCTGAGGAGGGTGATTTAGCAGGTATGGCCAAGACAGTCATCCCCAGAAGGGGGGTGTGCCAGGAATTACGTACGATTTTCCTTCTGCCTCATGAGCACAGAGCCACAGGGAGAAGCATGCGGTCTCCGGGTGCCTCTGAATCCCGAGAGGACGACAACTAGGGGTGGGAGCTGGCTTGGGTCCCCCTGCCACTGTATACTCAGCTGCAGATTTGCACGTGGAGTCCAGCCCCATCTGAGGCAGCCCCCTCCACAGTGCTGTTCTTGGGACTCCAGTACACCCCGCTTGCTCAAGGATGAATTAGCGGAAAAAGTGGATGAGTGGAGACGGTGGGGAAATGTGCAGAGCTGTGGTTTTTCCTGTGCCATATTCTAAATTTTACTATTAAAATAAATTGAGAGGGACCAGGAATGGTGTGATAAGTTGTGAGCCACCTTATTTGTTCTTTCAGAACTTTAAAAACACCCAGTAAAACCATTCCTACTTAATTATTAAATCTGCCAACCATTTTACTATCACGTACTTAGTTCATTTTAGGAGCTCGCGGTTTTCATTCTAAATGCTCAACTGGCAATAGCGTGCCAGACACTTTATGTGGCAGAAAGTATACTATCACAATCGTTTCTTACCTGCAAGTTTTAGTGCTCAGTTTATTTTCCTCTACAGTATCAGGTAAAACTCCCCTAGACAGAGATTCCAAGTAATGAATAATATGTACTTTCAAGGACTTAGTGAGAAAAGCAAAAGTGACTAAAGAAATACTGTCCACTAAGTAGGTATCGTCATAATGAAATAAAACTCCTGTTTTTCTGATATTAATTTGAAATTTCATGTAAAGCATTTTTAATAGGGCAGAATCCTGGAGAGGGACTTCAAGGGGACATGTACAAATCATAAGCCTGTTGTGTTATAATAAAAAGAATTGTCCAGTGGATCATGGTTTTCCTAAAGAATTTGACCCCCAGAAAAATCTAATTTATTTGTTAAGTACCAGTATTATAGAATATGACATAATAACATTTCTTAAATGATTAAGTTACTATAGGTCAGGTAGTTAGATGATGGTACAAATATTTATTTTCTCATTTAAATTCTCACACTAGTTCTATGAGGTAGACATGATCACATTCCTTATGTTATCATATATTAAAAATGAGATAGAAACATGCCTCTCTAAATCTAAGAGAGAAAATACAATAAAAAAGTGAGAAAAATAGGGAAGATTTGAAATTTCCTGTGCCTGGACACATGGACATTTCTTTCTCACTGTGAGATTTTCATCCCATTTTTGAGGTAAAGGCATTGTCAGCATTCAAATCATTGACATTGAGTCAGAAAACTTATTTGAGAAGTTTATTGTACTGATATTTCATCAAATGTAAGTTAAAGGGTTCCAAATTCAATGACCCACTTTCTTATCTATATGATGTTTTGA